TTAAAATCAGTACAGATATTTTAGAAATATCTGAAGCAAAGTCCTCGATCACCGCCGTGTGATTGAAGTCCATTATCTGTGAAACTTGTCTGTTATTATTTTCATATTTTGCCAAATTAGTGTAAATGTTTGATGTTAAACTTTGATTCTGAAAATAAATGACCGCATTCATTTTGATGGGTCAAAGATAATAACGTCTCTCGTTACATTTCTGTTAAATTCAATGCACGACATTTACACAGTCAGAAAGATGAGGAACTCGTGAAAAAAGTATGAATATATCCAGCATATGACATACTACACAGTGCCCTCGAGTATATCCTTGAACATTGCTCACCTCTCTCGTCATCGTCTCCCCACTCTGCGGCATACCTACGTCACTATGTGCTTTATGTGCAAGGTGTTTTTTTAAATATTAGAGTTTTTCTTCTCAGTCAAGAAGAAAAAGTTTAATAGGAATTTTTTTGCCTCCAATCCCTGCATGTGTCCAGTTTGACTACTTTTTTGTCTGTCTAAGCAGATCTCACTTGTAAATGAGTCTTTGAGGCTTAATGTGATTTATCTGTCTAAATAAAGGTTGACTGAATGGAAAATTTGATTTGTTTATTGCAACAGGCCTAGATGTTACTGTCATTAAGGTGTTTTATAAACGTTAAACACACAGGCTGAACTGACTGAAATAGATATGCTTCTAATAAACTATTTTTCTGCAGTGTTCTTATGAAATATCTATTCTTATCTTGTTCTCTAATACCAGTCAGAGTTTAGTGAATTGGTTTTATTTTCAATGACTGGAGTTACATTTTCTAACACTCTCTTCCCCCTAAACCTCAAGTCCAGAATCACAAAACGAGCAAATTGAAATTGATATTTTGAAGTTGAACATTTTGGAAATGGCTGCATGTTTTTCCTCTGGCCTCACATGAAGACTAATCCCCTCTGAAAGAAGAGGGTCTGAACATTACAAAGGACAGCTTAGTCAATTAACAAAAGATAATCCGGGGAAATGGACAACTCATGCCAACAACTCATCAGAGTCTATGAGGTCAGTCCACTTTAAATCCACTCAGGACTTCTTCTCTTTCACTGAACAAAGACCTTTGGTCACCGTTTCTAAATAACAGAATAGAACCCAACGTTTGAGAGCATTATTTCTTACAGGCTGTTGCATAATTTAGTAAAATTACCATCAAAATCTCTACCTGATATTAAATTTCTTTAGGTTAGCACAATAGTCTGTTTCTAGTTCTGATTTTAACTGAACTAAATCATATGATTTTTTTCCCCAAAAAAAAACTGCCAGGAAAAGAGTTGTCAGCTTCTAGTGAAAGTTGCGTTACATATTTTTGGACCTTTTTGTTTTTTTGGTCGTGCAGACTGTTGGCCTTGCTGTAGAAACGTGGCTTCTTCCTTCTCCAAGCCTTCCTCGTCTCAGTGGCACCCTCTAATTTGATGCCTTTAGAAGTAAAGGTTGAACGTTCCAGCGAGGACCGACAGCTCTGAATCAGTCCCCAACCTTTGGGATCGGAAAGTCACTCGAGCCGAGACCTGGTAGTTAGTTACAGAATGCAGTAAGACTATCTTTAGAAATATCTATTAGACTATCTATTGATAGCCCTGTGATTAGCTAATGCATGCTCTGCTTGAAGACAGTCTATAAATAACAGTAGTCTAATATTGACAGATGAATCTTCCTTCCACCTGACCCATACGTCTGATCTTCACTCTTCTTCTACAGCTGTATATGTTCTCTCTTATACACAATCATATTGACTCCTGCTTGTATTTTTTTACTTCAGTGTTGTGTTCTTGTTTTTGTGTTGAAAACTGATGCTTTAGAAATACTGCTTTACTGTAAAGCTCATACAGTATATATTTTTTTCAATAATGCACACCCTTTTAAAAATAACACTGAATGATTATGGAATATTTTCTGTAGCTTGGTAAAAACAAACTCCCTACTTTAATTAGGATCATGCTACTAAACTACAGTGTTTACTTAGAGAAGTGTGTGCTGACTGGTGGGACTGTGTGACCCCGCATGGATCACATTATAGTGGAGGTCTGAGTTCTGCAGAGGCTCAAGTCAGAGTTTATCTAGTTTATGTACAGAAATAATGGACCTAATCAGTCATGCTATCAATGAATGAATGTTTCTGTATCAGATGTTCTGCTGTAAATTAAATTAGCAAACTTATATTACTTGCTCTCTTTTCTGTTACAGAGTTTAGAAGTCTGCATGACTTATATGAGTTTCAAGTGTTGAACACGTTCATTAACATTATCAGAGGGTTGTAAACTCAATCATCCATGTAGATACTATCTATATATCTACCTGGATGATTGAGCTTACAACTTTTTGTCTGAACCATTTTGGCCTTGGTTGTCCTCAGGCTGTTTCTGTGAGTAGCAAGTTGGCCATCTGGCCTAAAATATTTGAATGTTGTACATGATGACAGATTGTTTTGGATGGGTGTGTTTTGCATGTGTTAAAAGTCTACTTCTGATATTGCAACAGGAGGTTGTCTTGAAACACAGCAGTGAAGTCTACCCATGGGACAGATCTGGTGGGCAGGCTGTAGACTGAGGAAGTCCTCTGGATGGGGGACAAAACATTTCTCACTTAAAGAAACATGTCCAGATGATTTAATCTTTTTTGTTATCAGAGTACATTTTTAAATGGTACCAGTGCAGCTACATCAACAACATTATTTTATAAAGACTGATCTTTGTAATAACCAGGGGTGTCAAACTCACTTACAAAAGGGAGCCAAAATTAAAAACGTATGTCCTTACATTACCTCACATCGGATACTTGACATCTTTGCATGGTTGCAGGTTCATCAGTAAGCGTTTAATCGGTCTCATTTGACCTTCTCTTGCTCTTTCCACATCAAAATGAAAGATTACTGGGAAGTCTAACCTTCATTCTGGCATCAAATTAGCTGTCATGAGAAGTCTGCACTAAATGCAGTGAAGTGAATGAAGTTTTGAATTGATAAAGCTCCTCGGATGAGGAGCGAAACGTCTTCTGTTACAAATAAAGTCCAGTTGTTTTTGTATTGAACACTTTCAGAATGCACTAAATGAAGTATGCTCAGTTATTTTTAAGCAAACTGAGAAGCAATAAGATATTTTATATTGAAAATATTATCTTGGGAATCCAGATAAATATTTAACAAAAGCCAGATTTGGCCCGCTGGCCTTGAGATTGACACATCTAAGCTGACAAAATGCAAATGTTTTGTTGTATATACTGTATAAGAAGTGTAAAGAGGAACCGGATTATTTTTCAAATGGTAAAGCAGTGGTTGATTAAGGTCGCCAGGGTAACTCGTATATCTCACCACAAACCAATGTTGTATTGGCAGAAATCTTGTAAATGTAAGTGGCAGAAGCAGTTTTTATGTGTTTGCAGTGTTTATTTGGAGGCGATAGAGTACGAAGACCCTTTACTTCAAGCTTTGAAGAAGAATTTCTCAGGTGATCCTTCAGCTTTGCTCAAGTTGCACTAGGGGGATTTGAGAGAAAACTGAAAGTCCGTCCAACAAAGTCTACCTTTTGTGTATATATTGTATAAAAGGTCTAAAGACAGTGAAAATAAGTTTTTTTTTAAATGGTATGGCAAGTTCAGACAGCTAAAATATTACGAGTGCAATACTGAGTGTAATTTGAACAGGTCATGATATAGTCTTCATAAAACCTAAACTGCAAAACAGTATAAAAGTACTTTAAAACAACTACCATTAAAATATCTGTTTAGTCAGGTTAATCTCAAATTTCTGTAAATATTTAAACTTTAAATGCTTCAACTGTGAAGTATGCCTGAGCTCAAGAGCTCCAAACAGGGCGTGGCTTTGTTTTGCTCAAATTGTTATTTTTGATTATGTACATTATTGTTATTATTTAGCAGTTTTTTGACTATTTAGTCCACACCATACAAATCAGTGCTACTTAAAGCCATTGCACACAAATCCCTATTAAGTTGCATGCTTTGACTTATCTTGGAGAAGATTTTCCAAAACTATGGGAGGAGAACTGATTGAAAGATGAGACATAAACTGAAGAAAAATGTATTTCTTCTTTCAGCTTTTCCTCTTCAGGGGTCTCCACAGCGAGTCATCCTCCTCCATCTCACTCTGTCCTCTTCATCCTCTGTCCTCACTCCAACTACCTCCATGTCCTCTCTAACTGCATCCATATATCTCCTCTTTGTCTTTTTCCTGGAAGCTGCATTTCTAACATCTTTCTACCAATATACCCACTGTCCCTCCTCTGGACATGTCCAGACCACTGTCCCTTCTCTGGACATGTCCATACCATCTCAGTCTGGCCTCTCTAACTTTATCTCCCAGTTGTTCTACCTCTGATGATCTCATTCCTAACATTATACATTCTCATCACTCCTAAGGAGAACCTCAGCATCTTCATTTTCACCACTTCCAGTTCTATCTCCTGTGTTTTTGTCCGTGTCTTTGTCTCAAGACCATACAACATTGCTGGTCTCACCACTGTCGTTGAAATGTTTCCTTTGACCTTTGCTGACACCCTTTTGTTGCACATTTTTACCACACTCCCCAGTTTCCTGGACAGTTGACACCAAGTACTTGAAGTCCTGCACCTTTGTGACCTCTGCTCCTTGTAGCCTCACTGTTCCACCAGCCTCCCTCTCATTCACACACATGTACTCTGTCTTACTACAGCTGACTTTCATTTCTCTTCTTTCAAGTGCATACCTCCACCTCTCTAAGTTCTCTTTCACCTGTTTCCTGTCCTCACCATAGATCACAATTTCATCTGCAAACATAGTCCATTAAAGTAGTCTTCTTCATAGTCCAAAAGAAACATGGACCATTACTATTAATTGTGCTTTGCTGATTATAAATTGGCACCTTTTATAAAGTTTTTCACAAACATGTCCCTGTCTTGTTGGTAATAAATGTTTCTGTACCATATGCCTCTGACCTTTGCATCCATGGATGTGTCTTCCTTTTGTTTAGGCACTACTGAAGGATCCCCTCTACATCGGGCTGAGACACAAGCGGGTCCGAGGCCAGGCCTACGACGACCTGCTAGATGAATTTATGAAGGCAGTTTCAGACAGGTATCATCATACTGACCTTTGAGTCATCCTCTGCCCACTTCCTTTCTTCTGTCTGCTATCATCATTTCTGGCCAGAAATCGCACTGTGCTCTTAAAAGAAAAAATGTTAAGCAGTTTAGCATGTTTGCACGCAATTCAGCCAAATGTGGGACTCTGAGGTCTGGAGTTAGAATCAACAATCATTTAGCTTTACCCTCTTTGAACTGCTTTTACTTTTTTTATTTTTATAATTGCAGGTTTTCATTCAATCTGGAGATGAAAGTATTCTTTAGTGTCAACAGTTATGTAGCTTATTCAACACTGAGCTGACTGCTTCATAAGAACAATACAGATTGCCAGCTGGTAAACATGATATTTATTAGAAATGCCTCCTTAGGCCATATACTGATTTTTATTTTCAGTTTTTTGAGTGTAAATATTAGGCTATTAATATGAATACAGAAATAATTAGTTACTGTTTTGTTAAATGGTCTACTTTGGGAAGTTTTGTGCCAGAACTTGTTCTGACAAACACCAAATCAAATCAGTCAACATGGTTAAGTGCTCCAGATAGTCTCTTTATTTGGTTGACATGGGTTTGATCCTTATCATTGTTTTCTGAGCTGAAATTAGGTGGACATATTGCTTCATGCTGTGATTAATGCCCTTTGTGCTTGTGGTCCTGTTCTTGATTAGGACCTTTGTATGGCCCTGGCTTAGTATGCAGGCCAGCATGTCTGTGCCCATGTGCCATGGAGCCATCACAGCCACACACACACACACACACACACACACACACACACACACACACACACGGGCCTGGTTAAGCGTCATCCTAACCAAGAGACTGGAGTCCAGAAAGAGAAGTTTGGGTCTGGGCCCCCTCCAGCTGGCAACAGGAAGCCATGACTTTAATAATCGGGTAGCTTCCCAACTACAAGGAACAGACAGTCTTTTTCTTTTTTTCTCCACCGGAGCCAGATTGGCGGAAAATGAATAATTATGGGCTCAGGGATTCAATGAATGATTACAGCTCTGCCATCTTCAAGTAATATTCATGTTTAGTTTTCTAAGAGCTAAAATACTCCACATTGAGTCATCATCAATAAGCTGACGTCGGAAAGGATTTTTGCAGTCCATCACTCAAAAATGCTGTTTTGTTCGGGGTTTATGATCAGTGATACAATCTGGTGTTGGATTTTAAACCAGCGTTCTACCTCACAGCTTGTTGAAAAATCACTGTTGCTTTGGGCTGTAAGCAGAACATAAATGACACAGTTTCACAGTTTCAAAGATAAAACTGAAGTGCACATGAGGTGTTTAAAGCTTTTTGGTCAGCCATAGGTACGCCTATTCTCTTTTTTGTTCTAAATGCATCACTTTTCTAAGTTTTATATGGTTGAAACACCCCTCATGGGAGAAACTCAACATTCTAATTTGATGCTTGAACCATTTCCAAAAACTCATTTTAATCTCAAAAGTAAAGCATTCACTAATGACCAAGCTCTTCATTCTGTTGCTAAGTGTGAATACATCAAACTACATAAAAGCCAGTTTGATTTCTGGATCATTTTACATTTTAGACCAGTGGTGGTCAAACTGTTATTTATGAGGGCCACCTTGTAGCTCTCCAAGTACCAACAGTACAACAGACAAAAAAACAGTAGTATAAACTTATATGCTTTTAATATTTGACATAAACTGGACAAATGCCTATCACTAGCCTTGGTTGAAAGGTGGCATCTTGAGATGGGATCACTCTAGGCCTTTGTTGCTGGGAACTGCCCTGTTTACATCACCATTGTGATGCTTCATCTCCCCTAGAAACACTGATTAAAAATTAGAAATACGTGATTGTAGTTTCCTCACTGTTATACATTTTTTCTTGCTGACTTATCTCATAGTTTATGCTTGTGCTGCTTAAGAGCACAATAGTACCTTGGTAAACCATTATTTATTCCAGTTTTCCTACATTTGTTTTGGGTAGTTACTGTTTAAAGCCAAGAACATAATTTGCTTGAACCACTTATCTTTTTTCATTCTCTGCTTCTTAGCTTTGTATAATTAAACCTGTGATGGTTGATTTACTTATTAAACTTGTAAATGATTGACATATAATTCTTAATATCAATGGAGGGGACCTTGAATGCGTCCTGTGGTTCTTGTACGACAGTTTCAAAATCATGGTTTTAGACAGTAAGTTGTTTGACCAATCTCTGTCTAAAGTCCCCATCGCTGAAGATGTTGCAATCTGCTGAAAACTTCCCATTCGTGTATGAGGTCATTACTTGATGAATCCAAAAAGACCACATTGTTTGTAATGATCCACTCCTGTTTTAAAAATAAAACTGGGGACCCTCCTGGCTGCACTTAGGAATTCTGCCCATAATGCTTTCAAAAGAAATGGTGACAAAAATCATCTGATCCAGAGTTCAACTAGTTTCTTTGAAGACTGAACTGTTAGTCTGTGACCAGAATGAAATTAAGCATCTAATGGCACTTCTAGCCCAATGTTACGACACACACACTCATCTGTCTGCATGATTCACGTCTGACAGGTCTCCTTCACAGGTGATTGGTCCTGTTCCAACTTAAGTGTCTACTGTTAGGACATATAAGGTCAGTATGGAGACTGTCTGGTTTGCAATCTACTTTAGAGTAAATACAAACTATTTCAATACATTAAAAAGTTAAACTAATGTTATTATAAGTTTCAAATGTTTAAATGTTGTAGGTAATTGCTGTAGTTTAGTTGGAATAATTCTTAAAATTTTGATCCAAAACTGTTCATATCACAGACTAGTTGACAGAATAGAGGTCTTGGACATGTCCCATACCAATTTGCTTGGCATGCAAGGACAACAGGAATGCCATCAAGTATTTTAAAACTCTTGGCACTGAGAGAATGGAGGCCGGTGCAAGAAGTAACATGACGGAGGAGATTAGAAAGAATCCTGAAAGTGTCTTTTTTTTAAATGACGGCTCAGGGATTTTAGAAATAATGTGTGCTGAGAGATACTGGCTCTCTGGGGAGTGAGAGTGGGCTGGGGATTTATTAAGGCCTCAACCAAAAATGCCCCTCAGGGACAAAGGTAATACACAGCCTCTGAGTGTGTGTGCGTGTGCACAAACACACAGATATGCACACAGATTCAACAGCTGTGTTTGGACAGTGCGCCCTTGTCTCTGACCTTTGTTTTGGTCCTCTTTGGCTCGCTGAGGCCCTCATGAATGTGCTCCGACTAATGAATCACTTAGTCTAACCTCATCTGTTTTAGTCTCCCCTTCAGCACTGGAAATTTCAAGTTTAATAAAGTCAGATTGTGTTTCTTGAAAGAACGGGGTTGAGTCTTCAGTGTTAAACAAACACATGGAAGTAAGGAGTGTTTTTCTTCTCGTATTTTATGTCTTAAACTCAAACATCAGTGAAAATTTCTCAAACAGCTTTTAATAAATTGAACTGATTTAGCTCATGAAACTTAAGAACTACTTTTAATGTTGAATAAGATCAAAAAGGAAAGCCTAGGTTTGCTTTCTTTGCATCTGCTAGGAGTATTATAGTGGTAAAACATAAATAACTGTAAAATAAAAGTTGAAAGCATCAAAAAGCCTTAGAGACTAGTTCAGATAGCTTTGGCCGCCTCTTCACGGAAAAGATTTGACAGCTGTGTTCTGCTTACCAGGTTGGGTGAACTTTACACTATAAGGTACACAAAATTTGATCAACTACTAGGGAACACCTCAGGAATGAATCACGAGCTAATGGGTAGTTGACCGGTACTTACTGGGGAACACATAGCCAAGCCTTATTAGGGGGCTACTGGTTAGTTATCTTGTAAATCAAGAGGAACTAATCAAGAACTAATGGGTTGTTACCATGGAAACCAAAGAGGAAGGAATCAGGAGCTAGCAGTAGGTAATGGCCAGGTAGTGATTAAGTAATACAGTGAGTACTTGGTATGATACTTCACTATCTCAGTGAACAAAGTAATAGCCAGGCAATAATTTGGAAATCAGTAAGTGATAGTCAGACATAGTTAAAATGACACCAGCACAAGATTATGAAATTGCTAATCAGTGATAAGAATCCAATATCATCAGTAATCACTAGAAAACAGGTTTTTGACAATTAAGAGCTGTGACCTCACTTGTGCAGGGTTTATTCAGAATCTAAATGGATAATTTCTCCTCTTTTTCTGTGGTAAAAAACAGTAGTCCCTTAATAAGGCTTAGCTGTGTGTTCCCCAGTAAGTACTGGTTAACTACCCATTAGCTTCTGATTCGTTCCTCTTTGGTTTCCTTAGTAACTACCCATTAGTTCCTGATTAGTTCCTCTTCATTTACAAGGTAATTAACCATCCATCCATCCATCCATTATCTTTACCCGCTTATTCCATTTTGGGTCACGGGGGTCGCCAGTGCCCATGTCCAGCAATCACTGTGCGAGGGGCGGGGTACACCCTGGACGGGTCGCAAGTCCATCACAGGGCCACATAGAGACATACGAGACAAACAACCATTCACTCTCTCACTCACACCTAGGGACAATTTAGAGTTACCAATCAGCCTAACATGCATGTTTTTGGCCTGTGGGAGGAAACCGGAGCACCCGGAGAAAACCCACGCATGCACGGAGAGAACATGCAAACTCCACCCAGAAAGGCCCCCTGGACCGGGATTTGAGCCAGGGACCTGCTCGCTGAGAGGCAGCAGCTCTACCAGTTGCACCACCGTGCTGCCCGGTAATTAACCAGTAGTCCCTTAATAAGGCTTAGCTGTGTGTTCCCCAGTAAGTACTGGTTAACTACCCATTAGCTCTTGATTTGTTCCTGATTTGTTCCTGGGGTGTTTCCTAATAGTTAAGCACATTTTGTGTACCTTATTATAAAGTGTTACCCCAGGTTGGTTTGTATAGTTAGGACATTCTACTGTTGATATAGACCAAAACAGTTGCTTTCGTTCACTTGTTCCCACTTTGCACCTCTTTCAGCAACAACCTTGTTATAAGCATCTCAACCTAC